CGTTAATCATCTCGCGGAGTAGAACGTGAATATGCTAGGTCCCGTATTATTTAAAAGGTGGGTCCCACTGAAATTTGGGCTCAAAGTTGACCCATTAAACCATTTTTTCCAACAACTTTTAATTCCATGTCCCCAGTTACTATCTCGAGAAACATGACAAAACTGTAGCTTTACATGGATCTTAGAACCTTCACGTATAGGATTCTTATTTTCATCCAATATCTCAACCCACCTATCCACTTCTTCCCCTTCCAAGAGCTCACGAACTGGTACATAAGCTCTTCCGATTAAAGTTGTACCAATAGGATTATCCTCTTCAACGGTAAATATCACATCTAAAGCCTTATGAGCACAGTAAATACGAAAAGACTCATTCCACGGGGGGTTATTAGGTTCATTTTCAATCATTCTAGTTCTCCCAACCCTTGCCTTTTCTAAATCAATAGTTGCATAAATTTTTGGAGTCCCTTTACCACAAACAAAAGTCTCTGCAATTTTCCTCATCATCTACAAAAATATTCCACCAATGGAAAGTACCACCCGAGGCAAATATAATACTTCAATACACAAATCAGGAATATAGCGAAATAGTCTTTGAACAATTTACTGAGCATGGAATACATAATCACATATGGAAACTTATTTAACTTATACCTTATTCAAAAATGATCCTAAAATTATATATGATAACTGACAGGAGAAATTGGGCCCAACAAATTGATGCATTTTTAAAATTTTTAAAATAGAAGAAGATGAATGTACGCCAACTCAAAAATGTTAGACAAGATACTACAGAATAAAATGAATAAAAGAGACCTAGTTATTGTATAATTCCAACTATCTACGTGGTGACTAAATGCAAAGCTCAAACTTTTCTTCAAGACCTCCAAACACTTCCTTTAAAGACTAATTTACATGGTTAGCACCACAAATGTCAGAGTTTAGCATGAAATTCAATTCGGAGAAAACAGTGTAAGGAAATTTACACCTTTTAGATGCCAAAATTAATATTGGAAAGATTTAAAGAAAAATGTAGAAGAGAAATTGCAAAAAAAATAAACTTATCACATCCACATATCGCCTAACTCAAATATTTGAATCAGAAGAATAACTGGAACTGTTGATCATCTGACTTTTTATCAAAATGCATGATAACATGAGGTAAAATGAAATAAAAATTAACCTTAAATTAAATATTAAGCTACAATTAATAGTAGAAATTGGATCGATATTTGAAAAATGGATAGCGAATCAATAGAAATAATATCATTCAAAAGAACATTAGAAAGGGAAAAATCTTACAGGAGTACATAAAATTTTCAAATTTATTGTCAGAGAAATTATAGATTCTTTGCATTGATTTTTTTTTCAAAGAGAAGAAAAATAGAATTCTATCTTTTCATAGGGAAATTGTCAAATTTTTTGCGTGAAAACCATCATAATACCAATCTTCTAAACAAGTTAAAATGACATGGTTTATTATTTAATACTTTTATGAGATTGTCTTCTTCAAACTTCTGCAAACTGCTTTTGAGTACATTCAAATGCCTATAAAGGTCCCGTTTGGTACCCATTTTTTTCAAAATGTATTTTTCTCTCTCTTCTTTTCAATCACACATTCTTTATTAAAATAATATTACACGTAAATCAAAAACTTTTCTTTATTTTTCAACCACACATTTCTCATCAATTTACTATTCAAAAATGTATTTTTACATAAAAATATCTCCCAAACACCCTCAAAATATGTAGAAATAGATTCATTCTTTGTGCTTCTTGTATTTTAAGTTTTTCAATTTTTTGTTTTCCTTGCAAATTGATTCTTAAAATCATTTGAATATAGCTAGTAGTTCAACATTTCTACTGGATCTCAACAGTTGCACAAACGTAAGGCACTAAAACTTCAATCACAGGAATAAATATCGATCAATAGCACAAATATCAAACCAACCCACCAAAATAAAATAATAAAATTATAACACCAAAACAGTGAAATTCATCGTGTCGGGCAGTTATCCGAATCAAATTTATGACATGAAACTTCTACCTTGCGAAGAAAATGTCCACCTCCTCCATTGTGCAGCCTATCTACTTCAAAGATCGTGACATGGAGAGTCCCATGAAGCAATATTTGGGCCATCTTTCACCTGTAACATAATCAAAAACATCAAACCCCACATCACATTACACAACGCATAAAAAAATCAAGCACAAAGCAATCACCGAGTACCATCCAAAGTCAAGTCTAGAACCAAAGAAAAAATTGAAAAACATTTGTATTAACGAATGCATAAATTCAAAGCACCGAGTAGAAAAGTAAGGATCTAAGAAGCTCACAGAAAGGAAATTTGTTGAACTGATTTTGTGTACTGTTTAATGATCGTATTAATTTGGGCAACAAAGCTGTTTGGACTGGCCCCGTAGTGTGTGTGTATATATATATAAAAAATGAGAACATAATGACGACATAATGATCACTAGTTATATTAACATAATACATCATCAGTTTATGAAAATCGGTGCTCATCAGTTTATGAAAATCGGTGGTATATTTTTCTCACTTTTTTTTTTAATCACATACTCCTTATTAAAATAATATTGCTAAAATAATATTACAGACAAATCAAAAAAAATTCCTCATTTTTCAACTACACATTTCATATCAATTTACTATTCTAAAATACATTTTTATATAAAAATAATTATCAAACACCCTCTACATATCATTTCTCTCTCTCTCTCTATACACACACACACATACACACACGAAAACTAGAGATGGAATTTTCAATGTGATTTTAAATTTACCTAATTTTGAGCATGTTTGGTATAGCTTAAAACTTAATTAAAATCAATTTGGAAAAGTATCATCACAAAACCTACACATTTATTGCCACCACGTCGTATTTTGGAAAAGATTTGTAAGTCAGATTGAAGTGTAGTGCAGTATCTAAACCTAACCTGGAAGGCGTATATGAAATTACAGAGAAGAGGATCAAAAGGAAATTTGAGAAAAAAAGTTTGAACAAAGAACTAATAAACGAATAATTCTATTTTTTAATATAATCATGTCATGAGACTTTAATCCTATTCATGTACCAAACGAACCTTTATTTCAGAAGTTTCGAGAAATGGAGAAGAAATTATGAAAGTTTCAACCAAAAACGCAGCACTTTTACCGACATTTTAAAGTCAATGTTGAAACAATCTTGATGTTTCATTTAGTTTAACAATAACTAAATTTAATAATCAAAGAGGGAAATGAATGGTACATGATTCAATTGTAACAATAACTAAATTCATATGTACTTTAAAATTTTAATTATTCAAGAAAGGTACATGATTCAATTGTGTGATATGACAACTTTGCAAATGAGTGACCACGTGAATCGACACGTCACGATATTTTCATTATTCTTCATTCTATTACAAGAATCAAAATTGATCGACTAGAAAAATTAAAAAAAGGGGGTCTAAAGATCAGTCTAATAAAATGTTAAGGGATAAAAATCTCACATTCGTTAAATATCGAAATATTGATCAATTTAAAAAGATATTGGGCTACTCCTCTTAATAAGATTGAACTTATTAAGATAGACCACAAATCTTAACGTAAAAATTGAAAAATTAAAAGAATATATGAACCATTAAGGGGCTGTTTGGGTCCATTTTTCACCTAAAAAATTAATTTTTTGACCATTATTTACTATTTCAGCCGTCATATATAACTTCTTCTTTTACAGATGGACCCCACTTTTTTCTAACGATCAAAAAATTAATTCTCAAAATCACTCCCAAATAGACTCTAAGTATGCCATTCCGCATTTCGAAAATATTGTCGTACAACTACAAAATTTCAAGTAAGTAATTATTGATCGAGAAGCGTTAGTCTTGTCAAGGCGACGATGTCACGTGGCCGGCTTTTTAGACAAGACAACTAAATAAAACGAATCTTCACCAACAAGAAAAAGTATAATTTTAAATATAAAGTTGACTTCAATTCGTCCATTTCTAATGTACAATGGATCACTTTGTTTGAGTCCTTGTCATAGTCACTATAGTCAAGTAATTAATTATTTTATAGCTTATAAAATAAGGCCACATTTGATTGCACGAAATTTTTCGTGAAACTTGAAATTCGAATTTCAATTTTGACTTTTAACCTATTTGATTGACAATTTTCAAGAGAATTGATTTTCCATGAATTTCTAGGTACAACACCTTTAAGCGTGATTTTTCACCTTTTTTTTTTGCTTTAGCGTGATTTTTCTCCTTTTTTTTTTTCTTTTTGGTTTTCCCCCTTTTTTTTTTTTTTTGGTTTTTGTCTTTTTTTTTAATTGTTGACAATGGAAACAAATTTTATAAACAATTATAAAAAAGGATATCCCTGAAATTGACAATTTTCATGTAAAACAAAACCAAACGAACACCAAAATATAGATATTTTTTTATCTTTTTTTTTTGGGTTGACAATGGAAACAAATTTTAGGAACAATGGTAGAAGTGGATATCCCTTTTGACAATTTTCATGTAAATCAAAGCTAAATGAACACTAAAAAACACTTTTAATTCAATATTTTCCACGTGAAAAATTATACTAATCAAACACAATAATTTACAATTCCCTGGAAAACAATTTTTAGGTAATTCAATTCTTTGGAATTTGTTTTCTTTCCACCCAAATTTCATCTTCGTAATCAAACAAACCCTAAGTGAATTATCTGCCAGATCAATGTAAAAGTACTTCAATTTTGGACCTCAAATTACTGTGAAGAGAGCATATGAATTAAAATAACAAAAGAGAAGGGAGGGACAGTTATATTGAAAATAAAGAAATTGGTCCAAGAACGGACAGGAAAATGGCAAACATAGAAAGTTAACAAAATTGAGAACATCTTTCTTTCATTCATGATACCGAGGTTTCACACCCAATCTGGTTCAATGCTTTTCATTATCCAGTTTCTTAATATCTCCCCTACAAGGTGTGCGCGCGCGCTCTCTCTCTCTCTCTCTCTCTCTCCCCCCCGTCTCCCCCACATACGTTGCTTTACTTTTGGTCTCTCCACAAGCAAAGCAAACCCTAAAATGAAGAAGAAAGGCAAGACCCTCTTCTTACACACATGCATACATATGTGTATGTATGGCAAATCGATCAAGATTGCCTATCTTGGGGTTGCTTGTATTGAGGTGCAGACTGAAGGAATGAAACCGGAAATAAAGACTTATCGCTCGATGGCCCCGTAAGTTTCTTCATCTTCTTTCTTTCTTCTGTTATGTTATTCTTGACTTATATAATACTCTCAGCTTTGATTACTTTCATGTTGTTTCTTTTTCAGTTGGGAGTTTTGGAGTTTGTTTGGTTGGAGACTTTCAGGTATGTAAAATTCTGAGTTTTATTTATGGATTTTTTGTAATTGTTGGTGAATTGAAGTGGAAAACTTTCGTACTAAGGTTTCAATTGCCTGAATTTGGTTTTCTTTCAATTTCTGGGGTTTTTTGAAATATGAAATTTGATCCAAATATACCTTCATCTGTAACTTCATTTTCAGACGAGTTTTCAATTGTTTACTACCGATCATTTTGCCATCAGTAGTCTTTGGAAAACTAGAGGTACAGTTGGTAACTCACTTGGTGTCTGCCTTAGTATTTCTAGAAACTATTTGGTTTTCTAGTGGAGTTTAGTCTGGCATAGAGAAATTCGTAGGTTTCGACTCTTGTGAATCGAAGACCCTATCTTATTTTATTAAATTTGACAATAAAATTAGGAAGGACGAGATTGTGAGTTTTCCTCTGCACAAATTGAGAAATTAACTAAGTCCAAGTATTTATCCATCCTAGAGATAATTTGGTAGGCTTCCAGTATTATGCAAATCATTTGATACTTATATCTATAGAGTTTCTATTCCCAAATAAAGTGTATGCCTTTACACGAGTAGAAGAGAACCTGACTATATATTGCTGCAGGATTTAATTACATTGGAAACCTTAATAGATTTGTTATTGGACTCTGTGGGGGTAGTGAAGAATATCTCATGTAGCACATCCCAAGTTTATTAAGAAAAAAGATTAGTTTCTCTTCTTATAAATAAGTGCATGTTTTTCTATAGTGATTATGTTTTATAGTTGTTTGTGATTTGCTTTGTTTTTGCTTGTTCATAGACTACTACTTGTTCAACTTTTGCCATTATTTAGTTTTTTTAATTGAGGAATATAAAGTATCTTGTCAAAGTAAATTTCTCTTGTTATTTTGAATCTTAAATTTTAGATTCTTCCATTCGGTGCAAACTTTACACTTCAACCACTACGGAAGAATACCTACAGTTCATACTCTAGAACAGTGCTGCCATATGCATGTCGCCAACCACCCAACAAGCATAATCCTAGCTATAAAAATGGTTGCTACCGGCTAATTTTTAAAATTAATAGAGAACGCAACAATATGAAATGTTTTATTTAAAACTGAAAAGAAAGTTTGTTGAAATCAGCAAAAACATTCATATGGCAAACAATGTGGAAAGGATGTCATTTTCTACTCATGTTTTTTTTTTTTTTTTAATTATTATACTATTTAAGGCCTTTTAATTAGCTAGGAAAAGTTCAGTCATTAATATACCTAAAAAAATAACTGGTCATTATGTTTTCTTCAGCTTAAGGTTATTACTTTGTGGTTTAAGGTTCATGCTTTGGCATGTTTTTATTTTCTTATGGGATTGTAAATTATTACTCATTTTGGTAATTTTTGTCATGGATTTTGCAAAATATGTCTATGGTCCATTGCTTCCACGGTTCTAATCGTTTCTATTTTATTCTTGTCGATAGTGAGCACCTCCATTCACATGATCACCAGGATGACAATGCTCACAGTCACATGCATGTTGGAGAATAGTATTCACATTCCTTGAATATTTTTTTTGTTGGATTATTAGTCTTGGGTAAATAGAAATTTGTGAATATGTGCTTTCCATCTTTCCAATCTCTCCACTGCCCTTCAAAATATAAAGTTCTTTTAGCATGTGTAGAAGAGTTTAAAAATGTAAGATTACTGCATACTTTTAGAACTCTGTTTATCCTTTAGCACATTCATAAGTATCACCGAAACATAATTACGAAATACATTTAGAAGCTTGCATAATTATGGTCCTCATTCTGACACACATCATTAGTGAAATAAGTGAAAGCAAATTCTCTGTTCCCCAGTGCTCGGAACTCGATTTTCAAATTATTACTTCCGTTGGCCTATGCATTCTTGCTCATTCTAGCAATGTTTATTTTGATTGTTTTCTATCTAAGCCTCGCTAATATTATTTAATATCTGCTAGCTTTTTTCTTTTTTCTTTTTTTATGACACATGCCATCACGGGCAACCTATTTATCCTTTGCCTTGTATTAATATTGGTGTTTATTCTATATTTTTAAACCATTACAAAGATTGCCAAGAATTCAGTAATATGTCAATATTCCATAAACATACTGTTGTTTGCTTTATCTTTCTTAGATTGACACCTTCACCGATGATTTGTATTCTTCTTGAATGAGTGATATTTCATGTGAAAATACCAACTTTTACTTTTCTATATAATTCTTGATGCTTCAACTGCAGTTCTATGGGAAATTTGAGCTTGTTCCTTAAGTGTGCTTTTTTTTCCCCCCTACACGATGGAACCCTTCACAGCTATGAAGCCACTGGATTTGGAGAAGGTTATTTATATTTTGATTGATCGTTTAGGGTTCTTGATTAGTGGCTCTAGCACTTCGATTGAAAGAAATGGCTGAGTTTGTTCCAACCTTTCCCTCGAACGCATTTGTGGCGAAGGCAGCGTTGTGGTGCAACAGGTTTATAAGATGCCTCCGTGTTGCCCTTGAGGCTTTACTATGGATTTGGTACAAAACTATTATCAACTTCGAGCCATCTCATGAATTGTTCGATGGGATCCAAACCCCAACAGTATCTTCAGAAATGGCCATTGGTAATACCACCTCCTCTGCTACAGTTTTGATCAAAAATGAAATGCAAGATGCTCATCTCAAAATTCTCAGCCTTAATTTGCTATCTTCCTCTATTTGTTCATTTCTTTTCCACTCTACAGCTAACATTTTTTGTTGGTTTTATAGACAATAATTGCCTAGCATTTATAAGCACTCAACTAATTTGAGGTCGACAGCTATGAAGGTTTGTCCACGGACTAATTTCCTACTATGGTTTTTGTTGTTCAATATATGTTTGTTTAGATAAACCAAAATTGGTAACAATGTTGTCTTTAAATTCCAGTAAAACATGTTAGTATACATACAGGCAGTTAAAATTAACCGTAATTAGTGTGGTTGCTAAAGATTCTATTTCATTATACTTGTTTTTTCGATAGTCCTTATTTCTTCCAGCTACTGGAATGATAATTAATAAGTTGAGGTGTAGTCCTGGATGCTTTAACATTTACGAGATTTCATTTTTCGGTTGCATTAATTATTTCAGTTTATGGTATCTTTTGCCATGTTGAATCAAATTATAGTTCTATTTTAAGTTTTATTTCAGCACTTGGAACTCTAAGCTTGAGAGGTTTTGTCATTAGCTTCCCTAATTGCTTTCCAGATTATTGATGGGGTGAGGGTTTTATCTTTGCAAATTGGCCAAAACAAACGCCTAACACATCATCTGGGCTTCATATTCACGTGCATATACCTGTAAGATGTCACATTTACTTTAAGATGCTCATACTGAAACATATTAATGACCTTTTAGTTAGTCGATAAGATTGAAAGATGTCTTTCTTTAGACAAATACTTTAAATTCTTGTTTATTTTCTCTAACACAAATGATTAGAACGTTAACTTCTACATTCATTTATATTCTATTAGGAAGCTTTTATGTTGAGACAAAAATCATATGGGAATTTGTGGAACTTGAGTGCAATATACACGATATTTGTAACCTTTTCTTTGTAGTGCTCTCGGAATCTTGCAACAAAGTTTACTGAATTTAAGCACTATACTCAATCCCAGTAGGTCCATATAAGAGTTTAATTGCTGAGTATGTATTTCTCTATTTATATCTAATCTTAATCCCTTTTCGCATAAACAATAAGCTTATGCCTTTCTTTTGGTTGTTGGTGCAAGCAGAACCATGTGACACAGTAGACGATGATGAGCCAATTGCTGAGGGTGAAACAAACAAGGTACTTATTCTTAATTGCAGATAACGAGTACATATTCTATCCACAATTTTTTTTTTACACGAGAGACACAATTGCAAACACACATTATTGCTCTGACGTACTGATGCATGGGTAGGATAGGAACAAATTCTAGACCCACTTGAATTTTTTATTATTTATACAATATAAATCCTACAATTATCAAGATTGAAGCTTCCACAGATTGCCAAGGGGAATTGTATGCTATGGTGTATACTTTAGTTTACACTTTACCATGTGACATTACCCTGTTGGAGAGTATAAATTTCAAACAGTTTTTTCATCTAATTGACACTCAACAACAATGCAAGTGTCAAACAACGTGTGAAAAATCAGTGTACAATATTCTATCCACATTTTTTTTTAACACGACACACACAATTGCAAACACACATTATTGCTCTGAGGTACTGATGCATGGGTAGGATAGGAACAAATTCTAGACCCACTTGAATTTTTTATTATTTATACAATATAAATCCTACAATTATCAAGATTGAAGCTTCCACAGATTGCCAAGGGGAATTGTCTTCACTTCAATTGTTTATCATCCATTAGGTCACCACTGGTGTCAGTAGTCCTGAAGAAGGTATAATCAAGTTGTAAGGATATCATCAATAATAACTAATATTTTTTAATTCTTTCTGAGTTCCTTGTTTTTCCTTTTTTAAAATGGTGTACTCTTTGGCATATGCCAAATTTTTTTCGATGGAATGTTCCTTCTGATGTTCTCAGAAATATCTATCTGATTGCCAAGACTTATTTCTAGCTCATAGATTGTCCCATTATTAGTTCAGTCAGACTAGGGCCATTCGTTGAAGTTGCTTTTTATTGGTAGATAGGTGACATCCTTGTTGTAGTGAGCTTGTTAATTTTATTTTCTAAAATTATGTTGATTTGCTTCCTTGTTATCTAATACAGGTTGATACTAAGGCACATCTTTTCAAGGCTAGATAGAAATTATGGATGGGCAAGGCAGACTTTTCAGCAAGATTCATCAACTATATGCCGGAGTGGTGACAACATATGCAGCTCCCCACAGATTCAGCTTGTTGGGCACTCAATTGTAAATTGTTTCATTGAGAACTTAAAACTATGTCGAATGTAGCACATTTCCAATATCATGATAGTTTTATTCAACCTTGTATTTTTATCATGTAAAACATTTGTAATTTTGAGTTCCTTTTGAGGCATGTGCTATGAATCCTTACAAATCCATACAGAGGAACGATGACATTTTACATTCAGCATTTTATATGTGCATGAGTAGTTGTTTTCAATGCAGTAATTCATTTCCTATTTTCCTCTCTTCATTATTACATTTTCAACAAAGGGTAGCAAAAACAATGATGATCTATGTTGAAAAGAAAATTATTGTTGTTTTCCTTTTTAGTATTTAACTCTGATTATATGTAGTCATAAAAATAAACTGTATCAGACTTGAATTAGTTACAAATGTTTGCATTCTCATACTCATCCTAAAGCATAAAAGAAAAATATATTAAAATGACTGCATAGATGGAAATGACGAAACAGTCTTTTCCTGTAGGATTAATCCTGAGAAATGAAAGGCCAGGCCTTTTATCGTATTATTCACTTTGTCATTGCAACTTTAATTTTTATCTATATTTCCACTTATTTGTCGATGGACAAGCTACTTATGATCTGTATCTAAGCATGTAATGATTTCAAGTTACAGTACACCTTGTGTATTATATATGCTGCAGAAACGAGCCTTTACAATGACATGTCCAGGTAATTAAAGTGTTCTCTTCTCGTTAAGCTCTCAATTGGACCTATCTATAGGTTTTATAAACATTTAAGGTGCTCAATACGGGTAAGTTTGCTGAGCAAGTTATATGCCATGCAGTGGGTGGTGTGGAGAAACTTGTTGGCCCAAACAAGAGATTCATTTTTTCTATCTGGATGAGAGTTGTCCTATAATTGCTTGTTTATGAAGTTCCTCTATTCAGAATAAATTCATGAATGCTAAAGTTTTCGTGTTTGTTTATTTATTTTTATACCAAAATTCCTAGTTGAAGCAACGATAGACTACAAACTTGATGAAGAAACCAAAATCATATCATTCAAACAAAAAAATGGAGTGAAAAAATTTCATAGTCTTTTGTAATTGTAGACAATTGTACTGTCTATCATATTACTATCTCAAAAAAGAAAAGAAAACCACAACTCCAAGTATGTAGTAACTTAATACTGAGTCTTTAGGTAAGAGTCAACCAAAAGACTAATAAGTTACTCTCTTTGAGATGAAAGAGCTAGATTAACTATTTTAATATCTTTTGAATAATGAAAATATGTAAATACTATAAGCTACCTGAAAGCACTCGATGTACAGTGACTGCCAATAAGGAACTTCTTCTACTATATCTTACACTCTTTACTTATAAATATTTCTTTATGAAAAGCTCTAGATACTACTTGGCATTTTCTAGATACTACTAGAATGTTCTAGATTAAGATTAGTTTGACCTTACGTGCGAAATTACTTTATTAAGAGCAACAAGTCACTTTTTAATAGTTTCTAAATAGTTAAACATACAAGTCCAATTTGTCCTATGTATGAATGTCACAATTAATAATCAAAGCAATAAAAAACACCAATATTGTTGACGGAGAAACTCAGCTAGGTAAAAACTTCGAGACCAAGCCAGTTACCTCCATTAGACAATATGAATTTACAATCAGATGCTTCCTAGCCAACTCCACCAGACTTTCCGATCTTTCTATACACTCCAAGATCTGCTGACTCCAACAGCTTTCCGATCTTCTACAATTGTCTCTTCAAAGTGGAACTCCAATAATCTCCAATTCTTGTAATCTTTCTGCGCTTGGAGTCCAACATCTCTCAATCTCCAGCAACCTCAAAAGTTCAATTGAGAAAGTTCCTTGTTGTATTAAGGAAGTCGGTGTTTCAAATTCAATAACTTTAATGTTTTCCCCAGTTTGTGGTTATAAAATCTTAAGAATAAAAAGATTGATTCAATGCATAAATGAGCCCTTGGATGTTCAAAGGATGTTATGGATGTATTTTGAAGAAGAGGCACAATGTACAACCATCCAAAATTTGTGTCAGGTCTTGGGTATTTATAGTTGAAGGTGTTTAATAGTTTGAGCAGTATAAAACTCTTCAAACACGCGAAATAGGGTATTTTGTGCATAAGCCTATCGCTCGAGCGAGGAACTAGCGACAAGCGAGCGAGAGGCATTTGTTTTTATCGCTCGATCGAGGAGCCAACGACAGGAAAACGATAGCTGAGTAATCGTTAGTTTTTTTATCATGACTTTCTCTCTCGATGTCCGATTGAGGTGAATCAAAATGCGTTAGAAAACCAACGCAAAGAGCTCCATATGTTCTAGAGCCTTTTCTAAATTCCAATGTTTTCTATGTGAAAAATGTATTGTGAGTTACGATTGAGAATTTGGAACATAACTTGTGCGGTTCTTTGACACTCTTTAGACTCCTAATTGTATTCCTTGATCATGTGTGATCTTCTTGAATATCTTGGACTCCTTTCAAGGACTTTACTATCAATCCCAACTATTTTGACTTTAATGAGGACTCAATAACTCCTATTTTGACTTTGATCGCAACCCCACAAACTCCTAATACAATTTAACTAAGATTTGATTTTGTCTACTAAATTACCAATACAAAAAAAATCTAACACTTTACGTTGTCTGCGACAAAAGTTTTCAACATATACATCTACATGTTCGCCATTAATCACAATACGTATACCTCTCTTGTAGATTCTTAACATTTACCATGTTAACACTAGCTTCAAAATACCCCGACCCGTGCATTGCAAGGGCAGGAGACTAGTATTAGTAAAAGCAGGTAATATTTAAAGAACTTCTTATACAATTGAAATGTAATAAATTAGAGGGAAAATCGACATTACATAGTTATAAGACTCGGCCTCAAGATTAATGACCTAATCAAGACATTAGGTCAACATCGGGTTATTGATTGAATTGATAGGTTAGAAAGATCCTATGAAACTTCACTGTTCCCTGGGATTGGATTTGGGCCTTTCTTGTGTAGCTTATGTGGAAGCAAAGAAGGCCTTCTTCTACGAAGGCCCGAGCCATTAGTGAGATACCACTCTGGAAGAGCTAGAATTCTAACCTTATGTCAGGACCTACGGCTAAAGGACAATCTCAGATAGACAGTTTCTATGGGGCATAGGCCTCCCAAATAAATTATTTCTTTTTTTGTCAATCGACATTTTTTTTATGTTTCAGTTTATGCTCCTTCCTATTATCTGGATATACTAAGAAAGATGTACAGTCTAATGACGTTATTCCACATATTATGGGTAACATAGGAGACATTAGGCCTAGCCTCCCTTTCAGTAGATGGGATTAGGATGAAAGGGCTTTCTTTCATTAACAACCAGTAAAGGTGCATAGATTCTAACCACAACTCATCTGTTGATTCTTCAACATCAGTCGGTTCGGACCTCCACTTAATAGTAGAGGGGCACCCAAAGAGATTCATTTCTCAACAAACTTTGGCTTAGAACCGATGTGTCAATTCTTAAAAAAATTATTTCAAATTTTTGAAATTAAAATTTTTCTCTTGAGACAATTAAAGTTTTTAATTTATGTCACTATTTACTTTCATGTATATATATTATTGATATTATAAACTTATCTGCTCTACAGTATTTATACTTCAATTTTATAATTTTTGTATAATATAGAATTTCTATATATATTATTTTCATTTTTTATTTACACTATATCTATTATCAACCAAACACTTTAGCCATTATTAATTTATCTATGCATTACAAATCCATAAAAGAATTCTTTGATAAAAAGCTGGTAACATTTTCTTTACTTGAATATTAAAGTTATGTACAATAAGGGCTGGATTATAATATTTTTGGAATAATATTTGAAGATAATAGAAGATACAATAAATTCTAACAATATGTTGATTGCTCACTTTATGGGTGGAGGAGGTCAAGGGTTCCAATCTCTAGTCCCTCATTTGTTAACTAATTTTTCTTTGACCTTTCAAAACCCTATAAAATTTGGCCATCGGTCCGACCCAAAATCCAATAATTTAACTGAATTTGGTCAGTTAAATTGCTGACCAGATAAGTTCGTCCAGCTCGATTAAAGGCCTAAGTAGTAAATTTTTTAGGCCCACCTGCTTCGATTTTAGAGAAAATTACCTAGAAATCTACATTTAAAGATTAATTTTCATAATTAAGGAGGATTAGTTTTAAATTCAAATATGAGGGTGTAAAAAAGACTACTTAAAATAATAAAATTAAAGTACCCCAACCCAACCCACCCAC